ATATCTGTAAGGAAAGAGCATTTGCTTTTCTCGCTACACATACACTTCAGGCATCACCAGCAACAATGTTTGACAAAAGTCTTGTTTTCTGACAAGCTCTTCTACAAGTCATTAAGTACAGGACTCTTGATGACTAAAAATCGATCTATTGACTTTTGGATACTGTGCCTTTCTGAAAAAGACATCAAACGATGAATCCTGACAATGCGAACATTTTGATGCTATTGTGACATACTTTGATGCTAAATTAATATACATTTATCTCTCTACTTGGCTGGATATTTTTGTGCTACTCGATTAACCAAGGGGGAAACGGCGGATTCCCGGGATTCCGAATCCCAAGGGAATCCCATGGGAATCCTGGGAATCTTGGAAATCCTGGGAATCCAATGGGAATCCAGGGAATCTCACGGGAATCCTGGGAATCCCGGGAATCCCATGGGAATCCCGGGAATCCCATGGGAATCCCGGGAATCCCATGGGAATCCTAGGAATCCTGTGCCTAAGAGTCATCAATAGATAAAGTAATCATCAAAAATAAACAGGCCAAACATACTAGTGATGGCAATGATGACGAAGAAGTTGACTCAGAACTTGTAGAATTAGAACAAGACTCTCAAAATACTGAGATGGATATAGACGAGACTGAAATATTAGAAAGTCTTGATATGAGTGCTAAATAAGCACTTGAATCATCTCGCTTGATGAGTTCTTCATGCACAACTTTCTCTAAAACATTAAACAAAAACGAATAAAAATTAAAATGGGCACGGGTATACCGAATTATGTTCGTATTAATATAAACTAATGGGCGCGGATTTTCCGAGTATGTCTTACCTCTTCGTACAGGATGGACTCTATGCGTCGAAGAGGAGAAACATGAAAACGATTTTTCTATATCATGGCCAATAATCCTGTTTTTAGAACGTAACTAGATAATTATTTTCATCATACTGTAACGGCTCAGGAAATACATACGAAAATGAACATATACTTGAATTAAGAACTTATTGTTATTTAAAAAAAAAGATATAGCCTGAGATTTTTTCTCATTCTTTTTGACTTACGTTACCTTTTAGTTCACTCTCATAAAGCAATAAATAGATGATACTTTCTTTATAGATATATTTGATTTTGGAGTTTTTAAGATGATAACATCTAATGTTACCTCAGAAGAGGTACGAAAAATATTTAAAGGAAAAAAGGTACTCATCATTGGAGATTCGATCTGTAGAGGAATCTACAAAGATCTCTGTTGCTTATTAAGCGGAAAAGACCGATTATTAAGTATTGTTGAATTACGTTTCAACAGACGTATTAACAATTTGCACAATCATTGTATATCTTAGGAGGACGAAACTCGTACGAGTTTGTACGGTTGAACTTACGCGGCGCATTTCCATCATTATCTACCTTAAACCTTAGTCTTGAGAAAGCTGGTGCGTGCATTGGTGAAGCCGAGTTTCGATATGATGCACTTAATCACCATCATAATTCTTTAAACTATCAGATCGCCGTTTGTTCAGAGGACTCGACAGCACTCGTAGATAGCGGCGGATCCAGGATTTTTCAGTATGCTGGATTTCACCTTCAGACTATGGGACCCAGATGAAATTTATAGAGGTATGATATCGGAATCAAAAGATGAGTTTTTATTAAAGGATTTTTGTAATGGGAGTTTGCGAAAAAAATTAGCATTTTCCTGAGCTCCCCCAAGATTTTTCTTTCGCAGTTAGGGGTATCTTGTTTTTTAGAATTTAATAGTAAGCTACATCGAAATTCATCGACAGTTTTCAAATTTCATCTAAAAATATGCATCCGCTCACGAGTTATAATGTTATGAAAATTTGTTGCATGGTGCTAAAATTTTAGAAAAAATTCAAAACATTATAACTCGTGAGCGGATGCATATTTTTAGATGAAATTTGAAATCTGTCGATGAATTTCGATGTAGCTTACTATTAAATTCTAAAAAACAAGATACGCCTAACTGCGAAAGAAAAATCTTGGGGGAGCTCAGGAAAATGCTAATTTTTTTCGCAAACTCCCATTACAAAAGTCCTTTAATAAAAACTCGTCATTTGATTCCAATATCATACCTCTATAAATTTCATCTGGGTCCCATAGTCTGAAGGTGAAATCTAGCATACTGAAAAATCCTGGATCTGCCGCTACTCGTAAAGAAAGTTAGTTGTAATGCTGCTACTGACACATTTGGTGGATTCGCGACTCCACTCGAAAATGGTATTCCTAAATCTGGTTATTTTAAGACAGATTCTTTTGATGTGTTAAAAGAATGGTTCGAGAATAAAGATAAGTCAAACTATTTAAATGTTCATATGATGCAACCGCTCATTGAATCTAAACCATATACCTCACCATTCCTGCTTGCCGCATATGGGATCAGTAACAAATTTAAATCCATTGATATTCTTAATCAATGGATATGGATTTTTGAAAAGTCTCAAGAGTCAAACGTTCGTATTGTTGCTTTTTCTACGGATTGCGATCCAAGATACTTGTTAGCAATGCGTCTGAATACAGGTTTTTTTGCAAAACTTACTAATACTCCGTTGTATAATCGTAACGATATGTTAAAGATCAATTTACCAAAGGATTGGTCAGGATGGTTTTTTATGCCTTCCCATCAAGTTTTTTTTTGTTTTCAAGATCCCATACATTTATGTGCTAAACTCCGTAATCGTATGCTTTCTGAAATCGCATCACTTTTGATTGGGAAAGGAGAAGTTTCCATTAAAGTACTGAATGGACTTATAGAAACTAAATCGAAGTTTGTACATGGACTTGTAAAAACTGATATAGAGCCGAGCGACAAGCAAAACTATAAGTCTTGCCTCAAGATTCTGAATGAGGAAGTAATCAATGCTCTTGAAGACATTGATGGTTCTTTAGCCACACAAATTTATTTGCGCCTCTTGCGTAGTATAGCACTCGCCTATATTGACCATAATACATCGATAATCGATCGCATCTATCATAGTTGGCTAGCAGTCTTTATATGCCGTATATGGCAAACCTGGCTGCATTTAGTACATAAAGAAGACATTTCAGAATCTCATTCTCAAATGTCAAAAGAGAATTTATTTATTACTGTTCCTGCTCATTTTTCTATAGAAATGAATGCTCATAGCCTAGTTAGAATTTGTTTACTTGTGCATCAGCAAGATTTGCCCATTTCTGCTCTTAGGGTTTCAAATTATCACTCAGAGTCTTGCGAAGCAACTTTTCGTAACTCAAGATCAATGTCAGGTGTTTTTTCTACAGTAGTTAATTTTACTACTGAACAGTTTCTTAAACGAGCTGGTAAACTATCAGTACTTGCTGATATACAAAATCAGGGTGAATCTGGTCAGTTAAGCTGTTCTTTACAGTTTCCTAAGCATCACAAGCGATGTCGACAAAGTGTTGCTTCTAAAAACGTAGTTCTGAGTGCGTCTATCCATCTTCTGACTTGTGATAATATTAAAAAAACAATTTGTCAAGCATATGATGATGCTTATGATCTACTATCTAAGCTTGATGTTCATATCGCTTTGAAGAAAGCAAAAAAAACTGAAATGCTTCAAGTGAGCTCCTTTGCACGAGCTCAGTTTGATAGAAAATTTAAAAAGGTCTCCTACGATGATAATGAATCGTATTTATCTGATAATGATGAATCAAGCTATAAATTCAGATCGGATATCAATACTGCAGCGGACTTAGATGATGATAGTTCATGTGATGATGAAACTGAAAATGTGTCTTCAATTTCAGCTAGTGGTAAATCTCAGTTTCATGGAATGAGAGTGTGCGACACTATTCCTTCCTCACTTGCAAAGTCCTACTTTCGTGTTGAACTTGATGGGAAAAACAATATATTCACAAACAGACAGCCTGCTGGCTTTTAACAGATACTAATAATCGTTTGTCAGCTGATCGACTTAGACGAGTTCAACAAAGCAGTTCTTAGATTAATAAAAAGCTTGTAAGAAATACTTAGGAATATTTTGACATGATCAACTTCTGCTATTTTTTATTGCTTCATGTTTCTTTTATTGATATTTCATAGTTCGCTTTTCCTCTATGTGATAAAAAACAAAAATTCTCTAATGTCTCAGTTGACTTGATACCAATCTTATTACAAGATGTATCTAAACTTCACATATCAGTAGATGTTTTTTTTTAAATTGACTCTGGTATTTTTCAGGGCTTATAATTGCCTGTCAAATTCATGGTAATGAATATCAAAGAGAAATAGAGCAGTGAACACGGGTTTACCGAAAGAGGTTCACATGAAAAGAAAATAGTAGGCACGGGTTTCCCGAAAAATGCCTAAAAATCAATGTATGGATGCGGGTTTACCGAGTATCATCCGAAGCAAAAATAGGTATAAATAGGCACGAGTATTCCGTATAAAACTTGCCTAAATTGTTTCAATCCATTTCGAATTTTTAAATTAAAACCACGCATAGCAAACAAATAAGGATGCGGGTTTTTCGAATACACATCCACCTCTTCGCAGTAGGATGGGCTCTACGTGCTGAAGAGGAGAAACACTGTCTGAAAGTAGTGGCCAACAATCCTGCATCTTTTGGTCAATCGCAAAATTAAGAAATAAAAGAGTTATGTTAATAAAAACAGTAAATTAAAGAAAGTTGGATCTTCTGATTTATTGTTTCATAGTTTTCTGTTATTTTCAGATACAATGAGGAACCCGCAAGTATGGTGGGAATTCCGGAAATTT